TTATCCTTTCCAATGATCCAACTAATTTCTTTACATTAAATGATTGAAACAAAAGGCTATCCAAATAGTCTTGCATTCTAATTTTATAAACTCCCAATGAAGACTAGTGGATTATGACCAGTGCCAGTTAACGTTTCTTGTTTCTGTGTCAGACACAGATTTCAAAAAAAAGTGATGAAGAGCCAACAATCCTAAAGTCTGCTTTTCTACAGCAGAAGATTTCAAATACCGGCTTAGTTTCTTCAAGAAGTTTAGACCACTGAATTATCTATTCCTGACTCATCATCCTATAACAAGGCAGCACCCACCTCCAAGTCACAGCATCAATTGCCATATTCAAAGAATTAGGGTGCCTAATACTGGTTCATTTAAGACAATTGCCTTCTGCTTCTCTAATGTTTCTTGGCATTCTCCTGACTACTAGTGAATAATGACTGCACATCTCATCGCACAATCATGAATGTCTTGCACAGAAAGCATGGACGCATTCATTTTTACCGAGGACTTTCACCATGTCGGGATTGGTCCTTTTGTGCTCTGTGCACTCCACCTTCATCCCACGATCCCCTGGTGTTTTGGAGCTTGAAGACTCATTTGTTTTTCTTTGGAACGTTTTAAAGCTTGAGAAGTTTAAAAAGTATGGAAGAAATGGGACTTGCCACTTGCATCATAGTCATTCCTTCTGGAACAGCCACCTGCTTCATGCCTGGTCATGGCTGAGATGAAAATAAGCTCCCCAGGATTCCCTGACCCTGTTCTTACAGCTTTCAACTCAAGTACCCATCTGGAGGGGGTGTAACCTGGCTTCCTTCCCTTTCCACAGCCTGCTTGGACAATTGCCAGTTTGTACAATTTGTCTGGAGCTGGAAGTAGCTGTGTGGCTCAGTAGTGAGGTCAGAGTTTTGTTCTGGTGCGTGGAGGACCCTGGGATTCATGGCCGTCCATACATGGCCATCGGGAACATGCTCCGTGGGGGTCTGGAGGATAGCTCCGTTGCCTGTTTGCATACAGCTATCTGGTATGAAAGTGATTGATTTCTCAGTGCATGGTTGCATGCAGCTTACAGGCAATATTGCCTAGCTGTAGTTGTCCTTAAAAAGGAATAGACTCTGAGAATTGAGTGGTCATATCCATAAATTTTAGAGGATAAACTGACGCCCTGCTTTTGTTTGTGGCAAGGTCCTACACAACCCATACTACTCAACTAAATGGCTGATCAAAACTGGTACAGCTATTAAAAACAGGTCTGATGCCATGTTAAGGTTTTCCTAGCACCTAACATGTTCTACATAAAGACAGTGCTGGCCCTGCAAAACACCCATTTAACATGAATGCCTGCATTTTCTGTACACCCCGCCATAGGGCTTCATGTGCTACTTGCAATATCTCCTTATGCTACCTGGGGTGTACCTCTATCTGATCAACAACAGTCCATTCTTCCTCCCTAGTTCAGCAGGGATGTCACCACCTACCCATCAAAACTCCAAGTTAATATAAACAGCACTCCAAAACTCATTCATCTTCAACTTGAGTATTAACTGTCTGTACTAACTTACATAACTCTGATCTGCTTCCTGAGCCTCAATTACAAGAGACACACCAAACATCTCTTTTGAACTACTCATTCTTTTCAGAGTTTCAACTACCTTAATATTTGCTTTTAGTAATACCACATTCTGGTTTTGGACATTGATGTGGTCTCCACACATGATGGGAAAGTACCTGAAATCTGTTATCTCAACTGCTCCATCTCTTTAGCCTTAAAAATAGGTAAAGAGATGGCTTACACTCCTGCCAAATCATTCCCAGAAGTAAATAGTTCAATCCACAGGTAATTTCTTAATTATCCTAGTCACCAAAAGTCCCAGACAAGTCACTCTCCCATTGGGCTTTGTACAATAGACCAAATAGGATATACTCTCCATCCATTCCACTTACCAGCATCTTCATTTCAATAAACTCTTTGGCAGGGGGAACCCTTCTCCAGCAAGGAGAGTCTGCTTAGACCCTGTATCCTTAACAACAGATCAGGGCTTAGATTCTTCCTTCGTAGAAAATAAAAGGGTCATCTTTGCCTTACATTGAAAGTCCAGTAAATTGGAAAGCTTTGCATGTTTTTAAAAACCTTTTAACTTTCGAGATGCCTTTGAATAACAAGGCTTGATTTCCATCGTGCTACACAGGCTCATCTGGGATTGGATTGTAATTGAGTAGTTGATAGAAAGCATGTTTCTATTCTGAACAAGGATAACTATTTATGAGTGGCTAACCACTCTAGCTATAAGTAAACAACTACAAACCATCAGCATTTAAAGCTCATTAAATCTCTAATCCCCTTATAGACAAATAGGCAGGGAAAAGTAGATCATGGACAGATGGGAAAACTGGAAAGACAGTTCAGTAGTGCTTTTTCCCCTGGTTCTGTTATGGAGGTGGTCCTTTGGACCCTTCTGCCGGCCAACTCTTTGCTGTAGTCATCTTTCTGCGATCGTTTCCTTCCGAGAGATACAAGGTGGCTTGTTCCCTATCAAAGGATAGTCTGACATATCAGTTAAAAGCCACAGCATTCAGCTACTGTTGCTGGAAAAGATGCACTTTTTTTTTCCCCCAGGTTTACAAAGAATTGACTACAGAGAACAGAGAGACTACTCCTGAGCTGGGGAACAACTGAACACTCCTCTCTTTGGAACGTGCTCCCAACTCTAATCTGTTCACTTACCTAAGAACCAATTACACAATTGTTAGCAGGAAAATAAAGGTCAGTCATTGGTAAGTCATCACTAGTCCACAGACCAAATCAACTTCTTGTTGCAGCTTTTGCTGGCATCAGCACAACCCTGTAGCTCAATCATCTGCAACTCAACTCTTCAATTACTACTTGTTCAAGTAGTTGTTTACCTGATGCCTGAAGTGGATGTCAGGTTACTGGCTTTCAAAACTGTCCCCACACTTTCAAATATTGGATTTTAAAACATGGCACTCATCTTAGTTCCCAACTTTTAAAAACACAAAACATGGTCCTACACTATTTTATCACCATTTGCCATCCAGTCTGCTACCTTTCACAAATTCTGAATGCCTGAACCTTATTCACTAATCTAGTTCACTATTCTGGTTTTCTCATTGACTTTTTTTTTAAAAAAAAAGTCAACAATAAGGTTAGTTAAGCACAACTTTCCATTTTGGGATCAATATGGCATATTATAAATATTTAATTTTCTAGATTTTTAAAGAAGTCTTCGATTTGCTATATCATTCCTACCATTGATGTTAAGATAGCTGGTACATAGTTCACAGTATATGCCTATTGCCCAAACATTTAGGTATAGTACTCAATCTGCCATTTCTAAGGCACTATACCTTCCTCTAATTAAGTAGCATGCAATTGTACTTCTGCTATCTATTTCCTGAATGGGTGAATGCAATCTTTCCAGACAATGAGTTTTAGATAGGATTTAATTTTATTTAAATATTTTTCCTTTTTAATATATTATGTGCAATTATTTCATTTCTAATCTGTCACACTTGCTGTTTCCTCAAGTAAATCCTTATGTAATATTTAGTTCACCTATTCAAGGCATTGCTGTAGGAAGACATTAAAGATAGCAGGTTACAAAAACATCTGTGCAGCTGTATATACAAGTTATAGTAAATCTTTCTTTTGAGATTCATCATTGATAACAAGTCTTGACACATACTTTGCTGTTAGCACCTGGCTGGAATATGTAGCATCTCCTGATGTGCTCATAGGATGTGCCAAAACAGAAATCTCTCTACTTAACTTTATCTGAAAAAAAAAATGTCTGTCCGAACTCCATCAGGTGAGATGCATGCTCTTCCCTCCTGTTCTTATCCTCTACAATAAGTCACATCATCTACATGACAGAGCAACTAACGACTCACTACAGGGATCGAATCCTACAGGAGGAAATTCACAGAATTTTTTCTTCCCAAATAGTCTAATTATAGTTTCTACCTGGATAATGTAGCGTGTCATATTTGTTTCAGCTTTAGTCAGTAACAGCCAAAAAAGTTAGTTTTCAGCATTATTCTCCAAACTTCCATTCTGCCACCAAAGGATAAAAGGAGAAGAGCCAAACTTTTACAGGCCACCTTTTGGGAGCTGATGCAAAGAGTTGGAGGAAAAAAACCCTTGCACTCTTAAATATACAAGAAAAGAAAATACTGCAAATGCTGGAAATCTGAAAATTACCAAAAAAAAAATGCTGGAGAAACTCAGCAGGTCTGGCCGCATCTGTGGAGAGAAACAAGGGTTAACATTTGAGTTTAAAACTCTTTCAGAACTTTTGTATCCTTTACCCTACTGACTACAATTGTTTTTAGAAGGGAAAGCGTGCAAGTGTTTCTTAATCCCTGAAGCTATGGAAAGATTGAGAGTTTAAACAAGGCGAATCATTTTTCGTGCATACAAACCAAGAAGTATAAACTCTTCATAACTGACATGCACACAATAAAAAGGACAATTCAATAGAATGCTGTAATACACCTTTACAAAATAGGAAACAAAATAATTGATACTCATGTTTAACTTGTCAGTGAACATTGCCAATCCATAGATTGTGCTATTTTCACTCAAAAATAGGTGATGTGGTTTCAAAAGCCGAAGTCGTAGATCAGAATTAATGCAGAATGCTCAAAGTGATGGATGTCCTCCAAGTTATAATATGTCTGTTACTTGTGATTTATTTATTTTTCCATTGATGGACTTGGATTAGGAATCAGACAGGGAACCACAAGATTTAGCAGTCTCCAGGTTTAAAAAGACATGCCTGTCCCTGCTTTGCTCTGTAACTGGTACAGTATTTGGTTTTCTTTGCAGAAGAACATTCTTCCCGAGACTAACTTCAGTCTAGGTCTTGGCGTAATAAATTTGTACTGTGTCAACGCCAAAGTTGGAAGTTTTACTGCTTCCTATTGTCTACATAATGGATTAGAGTTAGCCTGACAACGAAGGAATGATTAATAACCCATCAGCTTACCAGCTATGGTTTGCTCACTGGAAGATACTCATTTCAGCTCCTCATCCCTGGAATGTCTTAAATTTCCTCCATTGAGCTGTTAGTAAAGATCAGGAAGGCAGAGTGTGAAGACAATTTGCAACGGAGTGGCTGTTTTTATTTAAGAACTTGCCCAAAGAATAGTCAGACTTTGAGTTAATCCTTGGCAATAATTTGCACCAGCAACACCACCAAAAAAAAAACTTAGCTGCCAGCTTGGTAATTTTTTCTTAAAAATAAAAACAATTCTACAGAAATAATATACTGAAAGCAGTCTATTTTTTAAAGTTGTGAATTGGGCAAGTTTTCACTCGACAAAAAAAATAAAAAACCATGTGTATTAGATTGAATTCAATTGGACACTGTACGTTTGCAGTTACAAAACTAATATTTTATTAAGACAAATACATATAACAAATGTAGGATTACAACTATATAACTGTACACAAAAGCAGCCACAGGGTAGCATTTACAGTTAGCACAAAGTTTAAAGACAATCCACATTACATTACATTGCACTTTTTTCCTTAATCTAAATTATGCTTTGTCCCTCGGTCAGGTTAAACTGGAAACACGTCCCAGAACCATTACTGAAGCTTCAGCTTGGCCTTTATAGTCTAGACTCAAAAAGAAAGTCCAGTGTGCATTATATTAATGTACAGGTTTGGAGGATTACACTAAAATATTACCAAATTGTAAACCTGTTAACAAAGGCAATAACTATGCTCAAAAGTTTCCTAAAATTTTGTCCTTGAAGAAATTCAGACAGACAATGAAAGTTAAAAGGAAAAGAAAGGAGGAAGGAACAACTTCTAACAACTATCGTTCAAGTCAAGTCCAGTCAAATTTAATTAGCCAAACGTTTTAAGAAACTGAAGTGGATGAAGACATTGTAAGAGGGAACATGTATATACACCGTTTAAAATCTAATGATTAAATCAAACCGGCTCTTACTTTCGTTTGCTTTTTGTGTCTGTTGTCTGGAAAACACTAGAAGCTGACATGAGATTTTCTATATATTGCCCAAGGACTTGATTTTCAGACTTTAGTTTAAGATTCTCTTCTTTTACAGCATCTACACGTGCAGACAGCTCTGCGTAAACAGAAGAAATATATTAAGGCTTACCTGATCATTAGAATATAAAAATACAGTAAATTGTGGAATGCCCATTCAAATCATACCATCAAATCATTTTAAACTGGCACAGAAGTAAACAATCGCCAATTCTATCCAGAGATAGTAGGAACTGCCGATGCTGGAGTCTGAGATAACAAGGTGTAGAACTGGATGAACACAGCAGGCCAAGCAGCATCAGAGGAGCAGGAAAACTGACATTTCAGATCTGGACCCTTCTTCAGGCCCTTTTACTGAAGAAGGGTCCAGACCTTTTAGCTTTCCTGCTCCTCTGATGCTGCCTGGCCTGCTGTGTTCATTCAGCTCTACACCTTGTTAGCCAATTCTATCCAGCTAGATTCTACTGGTCATAAACAAAGTCAGTTTATATTTTTAGATTTTTGATCAGAAGTAAAAGGAATTCAAATGGCGAGAATAAAAGTGAAAGCGATAGAAAAAGAACCTTCTTTTTAGTCAAGAGAGAAACTTGATATTTAAGACAGGGCAGAATTTAATAGGTGATGAGGTTTCTTGAAGTAGAGAGACATTTTACATTAAAAGCCAAAACCAAAACTCAACACATTAGCAGAACTATTCATAACAAATTAACTTACCTTCTAAAGTGTGCTGGAGTTCCAGCACTTGGTTAATCAGTCGTGTCTTCTCTTCTAATTCTACTTGGTTCTCAGGGTCAATAACTGGAAATGACGAAAAGGCTACATTAGCTCACAGATCAAAAGATGATTGAAAACACAAAGTAGATCAAGACTCAAGAAAATCCACAAACAAAAACCAGTTTGAAATTAAAAATGTCACCCCTTCATTAGGTTCCTCTCCCTCCAAGTTGCTTTCTATGGTCTTCAGTTAGGATCA